AATATAGACCCGGTTAAAGTGTGAACCGTATAATTATGAACTGGTTAACATATTGTTATACCAAGTGATCGTTGATATATATATTGTAACATAACAATTAATAAACACAACAACTTTTTTCCCTTTTCTCTTGCTTTACTCATTTCACTAACACCTAATTCCTGCATATATGGCTCGTAACAAAAATTAAAACTAAAACTCGTAGATAAATATGGTGTTAATTTAGGTAACAACTCGTAGCAAAAACTAAAAACTAAAGAAACAACCTTTTTCTCATTATGAACACCAAAATATACCAAACGAAAACTACATACTCAAACATTAAGATATTCATGTGGCATAATCATTTCATAATGAGTTAGTACGATAACCCCAACATCCCAATCGATACAAGATTATTTAATGGTGTACTATATAAAAAAATAAATTTGATTGGTGCCGTCAAGGAAAGGGTCAAAAATAATTTCTGTAGCTTTTAAATTTTACCATTATCTCACAAGCAAATTTAATATGTTAAATAAATTTTCATGTAATTATAGAAAACAAACGTGACATATTTGGAAAACATGGTTCCTATTTTTCACAGACAAGAAAAATTGAAGGAGTGGGTAAAGTAAGTAAATCGTTGTACTAATTAATCGGGCCTATCATACCAACTTGTCTAATTGGTTTACACAACATCAAACTAAACCAAACTAAACCAAATTTGGCAAATACAGCTAAACCAATTAAGATCCGCGTTACGGATCCGACCCGTACTCATCAACGAATCCGGGTCAAGCCCATGAAAGAAACAAAGTCCGAAAGATCACCAAAAAAAAAAGTATCACCGTCGTTCTTGCGCCGCCTCGAGCTCTTCTGTCTCTCTGAATCTCAGAGTCGCTCATCACAGGTAAAGCTTCGATGGTCTTTGATCTTCCTCTTACACCAATAGTTGATTTTTGCATTCTTTCTGTGGTTTCGCTACTAAATCTAAGTTTTTTCTAAGGTTTGTCTCGAGATTGATAAACCCTAACTGTGTCAGGGTTTAATCGGAAATGACGTAGAAACAATCATTTCGGGTGTTCTGCTCAGGAACCCTAGATTGGGTTCAATTTTTTACCTTCGTTCTGATTTCGTATTCTTTGCGTTTACAGAGAATCAGATAGTTTTATAGCCTTAGAGAAGGTTTTCGCTGGAGAACAATGCCCGGTTGGCAGAGGAATTTACAATTGGTTATTCGTCAAGTTGGAAGAAATGTGAAGAATTGTAACATTTCGACTGCCAATTACTCTTCTACTCGGAATTTAGAAGCCCATTTCTCAAAAGGTGAGATTTTTTTTCATGGGGAATGCTTTGTCTTTAAGGCTGTTTGAGTTTTGTTCATTTGGGTTTAGAGAATGTTTAATCATTTCTGAATCGATGTGTTCTTTGTGGATCTTTCAAATGGCATGTGTGTATCTTGGATTTGTTCTGGTATAGTCTTTGTGTTTTTTTAGTTGAGTGGAGGATGATTCAGTTTTTGTTCGTGAACTAGGTTACTTGCAGGGTCTACTGCGACCAACCTACTCCTCAAGACCACTGCATCATTATCTACAGCAAGCGGTAATGGCTTTTGCCGGTTTCCCAATTCTGAATCGAAAAATATAATCTGAGTTTCCTGTTTCCTCTGTGAGCATTTTGCTTCCGTGGTTTGATAGAGCGAGAGTGAGTTGATTACACATATTTGTTGCTGCAGTTCTACGTAGAACGATTTAGAATTTCGAAATAGGGTAAGTGAGAGTGTGGTAGTTGGATGCCATCTATCTTAATTAGGCAAAAAAACTCACCTTTTGGAACTATGCACCTCTTAGGAACCTGTACTTTTGGGTATTAAAGTCATTGGATGCTGCTTTTTCTTCTCTGATTGGAAGTTCTATGTTTTCAGGGAATTTCTACCTCAAGAAGATTGCAGGCTAATGAAGAACCTGTATCATCACCTTTGTCATCTCCAGCTCTGTTGGGGACTGGAAAAGAAGAAGACCAGAAGATTATCCCAAAGCGTGAGAAAGTTCAAGCTGTACTCAAGGCCATAAAGCAGGTGTGTTGTTGTCTGACTTTTATTACAATTCGCTTTCAGATGATTTGATCCATCTACTTTATGCTTCCAACTCAAGCTTGTTATATAAATGTGCTCACCCTTGCTTGTTTCAGAGTCCTAAGAAGGTCAATCTGGTTGCAGCACTAGTCCGTGGCATGCGCGTTGAAGATGCTCTGATGCAACTGCAGGTCACAGTTAAACGAGCTTCCCAAACCGTGTACCGGGTAATCTCTTAGATCCGAGTTTGAAAACAAATCTAGAAACTACACTTTTGGAGTATGTGGTCTTCTCTTCCCTCAAGGCGGTTGACACCTTTCCTCATCTAACGATACTTAACAGACAGCTCGTTCTATTAATACGATGCTTACACAAATGAAATCCATTATAATACAGGTTATTCACGCTGCCCGAGCAAATGCTGCTCATAACCATGGACTAGATCCTGAACGTCTACTCATTGGTATGTACTACTGATCCTGGATCCTTTATTTCTATGTTTGCGTTAAAGAACGATTAATTTGTTTAAGCTTTTGATATGTGATGCAGCTGAAGCGTTTGTTGGGAAGGGACTTTTCAAAAAGAGGATATCTTACCATGGAAAAGGAAAATGTGGGTTGATGATAAGACCCGAGTGTCGCCTAACAGTCATAGTTAGAGAGACGACTCCAGAGGAAGAAGCTGAGATTGCAAGGCTCAAAGTTCACAACTTTAAGAAGCTAACCAAGCGGCAGAGCCGGCTTGTACCACACAGGCTCATCGAGACAACTCCTATCTGGAACCGCAAAGGCACTAAAGCCAATTATCGGTCCTCAGAGTTGGTGCCATCTCACTAGTGTCTTTGCTTCCCAACGGTAACAAGAGCCTTCTCCTTTATGGCACTTTCTTGTTTGTTTTTTCGGTTTGATATTGTATGGTACTCAATAGGACCGGTTTACTATTGCATTCAATAAATGTGTTGCAAGAAGGAACCAAATTTATAGATTTGGATAACGGTACAATGACTAGAGATTACTTTCAAATCCAAATTTTAGACAAATGAAACTTGCATAAAACAACACAAGCAATCCAAAAGCTTAAGACTGATAAGAGCTTCAGGAATGGGAGAGAGATATTTGTCTGAAAGCCCTAAGAATCTCTAGGACTTGTTCATAAGGAGGACTCAGCTCTTTAACCACATCAGTTTGGTTAATAGCACTGATCCAAGCATAGACACCAGGAAATGTCTCTGGGTCGATGATCTTCAGACCCAAAACTTCTTCGTGTGCCTTGTAAGGGCTAAGCAAAGTGCACATGACAATGTCGACGAGGCTCATGGTCTCGTTCGTCACGGTCGGTTGACCATCAGTGTCCGAGAAAATCTCCTTAAGCCCTTCTTTCTCTATGACTCTCAGCTTCTCCTTCACCTCTGTAAGAGCTTTCTCTTGCTCTTCTCCTTCGGTTTTCACCACTCTCATCGCCACATCGAAAAGCTGCAACAATTTTACTCAAGAAAATTCAGTAAAGTTGAAAACTTTCAATCAAAAGTTAAGTGTTTTTTTATCAGATTTACTTACATGTAACTGAACGTAGCTAGCCCAAAACCGGACTTTAGCTCTTTTGTAAGGGTCTTGGGGCAAAAGACGTGGACCGTTTGGCCAAGTTTCGTCGATGTATTCAATGATAATCAAAGATTCAGAGATCGGTTTACCGTTGTGTACAAGAACCGGAATCTTCTTGTGAACCGGGTTGTACCGGAGAAGGGCTTGGCTCTTGTTCTGGAGATCTTCAAGCACGAATTGGTAAGGTATGGACTTAAGCTTGAGGGCTAACTCAACCCTTTTGCTGTAAGGACTCGCGAATGTTCCATGGAGCATCACTTTG